CGAATCATCAAAAGTCGCGACTATACTTAACGAAAGTGACACATATGCGGTGAATGCTAAACCACAAGATATGCCGTCAACGGGTGAATCATTAGACGACGTTTACTGTGTCGGAGATACTCGGGGAGTTCCGGATTTTGTTGACATATCAGAAATTTGCAGGAAGCAGCGAAGCCGAAACACTCGTAAAACGGCACGTACTGTTCAATTCAAGTCGGCAATCATCTCAGGAGAGTCGGCAGACATCGGAGGGGAGTCGGTGGTCATCAATAAGAAGTCGGCAGTTACCGGAGGTGAATCAACAGTCATCGGAAGAAAGTCGGCAATCACAAGAGATGATTCGTCAGTCTCCGTAGGGAGGTCGACAGCAATCGAAGGGAAATCAACAGTAATAAGACGGGAGTCAGCAATCATCGAAGGGGAATCGACAGGTATTGGAAGGAAGTCGGCAATCATCGGAGGAGGGTCGGCAGTCATCGGAAGGGGACACACTGATTACCCAAATAGGCAAATGTCAACAGAATATCAAGTTTCTGAGGGAGCACCGATGCTGCCACCAAAAGTAGGTTCAAAGAAGAATACTAAGGCTACGACCAGTCAGGGAGAATCGGTTTACGAAGTCAACGACCGCCGTACAAGTATAGGTATCCCCAGAGAAGTTCATGCGTGTGGTGACGCCACTCGAAGAGTTAAAAAGCTTGGGCAACGCAGAGGGATGCTTCGAAGCGGGGACTTTGAAGACACTGTGATTCCCGATAATCTGTCAAAAAATGTAACCTCCTTTAAAAAATCCGGTATGTGCTTCAGTTTGTTTGTGTATAATATCGGTGATTGATCAGTGTCGACACCGTACAATCGCCATTACCCAGTTAATCAGCATTATGTTTAATGTCAACATTTCGACATGTTATACGATTTCTGTATTAAAAATTTGATTGAAATCATCACAAAATAATGTGTATAATTTGAATATGTTCTGTTTTTATTTCAGTAAGGCCTGTAGGGAATTTGAGTAAGTTTAGTGTGCGGGAGGTCGTTCAACTATTTCGTCAACTTGGATTTCGTGAAGAAGTTATATTGTGTTTTTCCGGTAATCGTATCGATGGTGGCGCATGTTCCCTTTTAACTAAAGCAGACATGAAACGCTACAGGATGAACGAGAAAGAAATATCTCTGCTCCAGGATTATATTCAGGAATCTAAACATAGTACGCAGCGTGTTACAAGTAATATTTACGAAGTGTCTTAAGATCTAAAAGAACTATAAACATCGGAGGTGTTGCACTATCGTAAGATGGCGCGATTCTCTAAATGTGACAATGGGATCACGGTTTCTCACAACTAGACTTGAGAGGCATTGCTGTTCTAAGCCAAGTGTCAATAAGTTATGTGCACCAAATGTATAGAAAGAAAGAAAAAAAAAAAGAGCAACCAAGATAAACAGTATTATTCCAGTACTAAGTGTACCAACATGAAATCTGAAACCACCTGACTGGTACTGGCAACACTGGAAAAATGAAATGAAAAATAAAAAAGCGAAGCACAAACAAATTTTCACTATTTCGAAACGATTGGTGCACTTGTGTTTAGTACTGGGCGCATGCGTACTAGTGTTTCAATAATTTAATTAACTGCATACTGGAATGTTTGTTACCTGAAGTACACTTTTAATTCATAATAACTCGTACTCAATGTATAAGAGTGTAATATTATGTGAATACAGTTATTATGTTATTTGGTGCAATCATGTCATGTAGTACATTTATCATATAATGTGATGCACTCACTATGTTATGTGGTGCATTCATCATATAATGTGATGC